ACAGAGGATGAGATGGCTGGATGGCATCACCGACTCGATGAGCATGAGTTTGTGTAAACTCCAGGAGTTGGTGATGGACAGGGAAGCCTGGTGTGTTGCAATTCACGGGGTTGCAAAGAGTCGGACACGACTAAGCGACTGAACTGAACTGAACTGAACACAAGTATGAAAGGTAGGAGTTCAAAATGGTTGTTATTTGTCAAAATGGGAAGTAGCTTACTCTAATAGGTTTTAACAGTTACTTTTTTAAAAGTAAGGATGGATAGGTGCAACATTTTGTATGTCTTTACAGCACATATTAAAACAAGGAAAAAGGGATTCCCACAAGTTTGTGCTTCCAAAATGCTTATTTAAGCTTAAGAAAGTTATCAAATGAGTACAACAAAGACTTAGATTAGAAAATGTGAGCAATTTATTACATTTATTACAGATATATTTTTAAAGAAAACCCTAGATTGCTTAGATTATATCGTCCCCAAAGAGTTGTCTATTATGTCTTATATGAATATTTTTTCATTTTCTATAAGATCCCCCTGCCAGAAGTGCCCAAAGCCTCAGAGCTAATAAATGGTAGCACTAAGATTCAAAAAGCGGAAAGGGAAAAATCAAGCTCACATCTGCCTATGATTTACTCAATCTTGTGAAAACATTTAAGTAATGTGTCTGCAATATTTATAAAATTACTTTTATACCTTAAAACCAGGAAACTCAGCATTTTATAAAAGGACACGTACAGGCATCTCTTGAAATAAATGATCTTGGAAAATATGAAGTAGTCCTAAAGAAACATTTAGCAATTTAATCAGCACACAATCTTACAAAGAACAGTTTCCCAAATACTTCTACAATCATGCATGTGATGAAGGAACAAGTTTCATGCTCTACAGTTTGGGCAGATAGGAATCAGTTAGGTTTTGGGGGTCTTTTTGCATCTGAGATTTTTTTTTTGGATAGTTGGATTAAAGATTCACTCAACTACTGGCCAGTTTTCCTTTATCATAAATTACAATTTAAAATTATTTTCTCACCAGGGAGAAAAAAAAAATTGCAAAAATGTCCCAGTTATTATGTTAAAATTTTTTTTCTCTTCAAATGCCTTATAAAGCACAAAATAGTCACTATCTGCAGACGATATACACAACTACTGAAAAAAACCAAAAAGAATTAAATGGAATGTCATAATTATTCATATCAGCAGCCACATTTAATATTTACTACTTGGTCTTCTTTAAGTTTTGCATATAGCTATTCATTCAGTCCTTAAAAACACACATGAGTCATGTATTACTTTATAGATGAGAAAACTCAAACACACAGAGACAGAGCAACTTGCCTAAGGACACAGCTAATAAACCATGTGACTGAGATATAAATTCATAATAAAGTAGAATTTCCAGAGTCCATAGTCTCAATCAAAAAATAATAAAAGAGTTTTGTCAGGTAGCTGGTTATAAAATAAATATATATATATATATATATATATATACACCAACTATTCCATACATCAGTAAAAAGCAATTAGAAAAATGAAAATGGCTACCATAAAACCCTACTTACTAAAGGGCATAAAGAGCAGAAATAAAAGAAACACACACTTCTGAAATAAAGTAAATACCAGTATAAATGTGTAATAGTCAAAAACATTGTTGTGAAGGATGTGAAAGATCTTACCTAAAGACATGGAAATTGCTTATAAAGCTACAGCAGTTCAACTCTGCTGTAGTTCTTCCACAGAATCAGTATGATATACTAGAACAAGAGTTTAGGAATAGGCCAGACACATCAGATCTTAGTATGTATTAAGGGAGAATTCCAATTAGCTTAAATGAATAGTCTAACTCAGGGGTGGGCAATTTACTGAATGCAGGCCAAATCCAGTACAGTGCTTATATTTGTAGGATGCATAAATTAAGAATGGTTTTCCATGTTTTAAATGGTTATATAAATACCAACAAATTATCTTTTATTTAGTCTCTAGGAGAAGGAACTGGCAATCCACTCCAGTATTCTTGCCTGGAGAACCCCATGGACAGAGGAGCCTGGTGGGGTGTTGTCCATGGGGTTGCACAGAGTCGGGCACGACTGAAGCAACTTAGCATGCATGCAAGCACTGGAGAAGGAAATGGCAACCCACTCCAGTATTCTTGCCTGGAGAACCCGATGGACAGAGGAGCCTGGTGGGGTGCTGTCTACGGGGTTGCACAGAGTCGGGCACGACTGACGCGACTTAGCAGCAGGCCCACAAAGCCTGAAATGTTTACTGTCTGGCTCTTTATGGAAAAGTCTTCTAACTTGTGACCTAAACTATAAAAAAATGTTTTGGGACAACTGAATACCTGATAGCCTTAGTGGGTATGGGCAGCAAGAAAGGCACCACAAATTCACACCTCTATCCAAAATACATTTCTAATGAAGTTATATGTGAAGAATTAAGCACAAAAGTGGTAGAAGAAAGTCATTGGGAAAAGTCTTCCGGAGGTATGACCTCAAATACAGAAATCGTTAAAATCATAAAGTCACACAAAATGTATGAGTCAAATGCAATAAAAATGATAAATATTCTTATATTAAAAAATAAAAAACAGCCTGAAAGCAAAAAACTGGAAAAAAAAATTTGTGACAAATAACAGAAGGTTGTAATCTTAATATATGGGAAACACTAACAAACAAATAAGACCTATCATTTCAACAGAGGAATAGAAAATGGCATAAAAGCAGTAATCCACAAAGGGAGAAATGAAAATGGCCAATTACACAGAAAAAAATATCACTGGTGTGTGTGTGTAAATTCAACAATATTTTAATGCACATTATGTTGAAGCAATAAGTTTCTTTTGTCTACTGGCAAAATTTAAAAGTAATAGGTGGTATTCTTAAGGGCACAGAGAGTGCTGATGATAGTAAAAATTGGTACAAACTTTCTAGTAAAAAATATGTCAATATGGCTCAGAGATTCAACTAAATATATTTTTAAATAAAAGTATTTGAAGTATAAAATCAAAAAGTTTAGCAGTAAATTACTCCCAACTGGCACCATTACAGGTAATTTTTCCTCTCCCTGCTCCATGCATATTTTCTAAAATTTGTGTAGTATCTCTGTACTGTTTTGTAATGAAAAAAGATTCAGCAATAGCAGAAATTCATAAGTAGCCTACAGTATTATTATTTCCATTTTCAGATGAGAAAACAGAGGCTTGAAGAAGTTTTTGCTAATAGGCAAAGCCAAGATCCAAACCCATTTCTGTACTGTGTCAGAGCCCAAATTCTTAATCCCTATGTCTTACTACCTTCTTTTTTTTTTTCTTACTACCTTCTTAATTAGTTTTTAAAAGAAGTTTCTCTGAAGCAAATCATTCTGTTATTTCTGTGACAAACAACTAATCTGGAGTAGTAACCAACATATGTATATGCATGTATATAATAATTCTTACTAAAAAATTTTGACATACAATATTTCTGTTCCTTAGAAGACAGACATCTCTGTCATTCTTTCTCTGCAAATGCTTTAAGAATTTCAGTTATCGTTACCATCTTTCTAAAAACCACTACTATATTGTAAAATAATTAGCCTCCAACTAATAAAAATAAATGAAAAAAAAAAAAGAATTTCGGTTAGACAGCTTTTTATCTTCCTGATCAGAATGAATACTTTTCATCAATAAGCAAGAGTGCACCATCATTTTTGCATCAATCTTAACTTATGCTATACAATCACAGTAACAAACCACCCAAATTAGTTTCTGCAATGATGCTACCAGAAAGACATCCCAAACTATTAACTGTAATATGAAAACTTAACCTTAGAATTTTATGTAAAAAAATTTCAAATATAATTTACATCAAATAGCAAATAGCTAGAAAGGCAGTAAAATAACAGAAAATTCATCAGATGACACTATTCTGTGAGCTACTCAATAGCACAAAGAAAACCACCAAACACTGAATTTGAAGAGTCCTAATAATGTGTTTAATAGTTAGTTGCCAAAATGACACAACTGTCAAATAAACAAAAAGGAATAATATCAAGATAGAAAAAAAAAAAAACCCATCAAAATTCTAGCTTAAAACTTGAGTAAGCCTATTTGTAAAATTCTAAAAGATATAGGAAGTAATTTACTAATGATTAACTTTAATGAAAAATGAGGGCATTTGTTATGTAAGTGTTTTAAAACATTAGTAAGAATCTCATTAGGTTAATACCTAGAGTAAATTGCTATACAGATAGGGAAATTAGGAATAACAAGTTTATAAAAGTTTGAAAGGAGAGGAAAAAGTTTGCCAAGTACAAAATACAAGAATGCAACTGGTTTGACTACAGTATATAGTGTATAAGTTAAAGTAGCTTACCAGAAATTGAAAATAACAACAGAATTTATTTCAAAATACTTTATCAACTTGCTAATTTTGGCTTGGCTGTGTTCTAAATCCTTTCATTTCAAATGAGATTACTGAACTAATAACCTGCCAAAGCATTTAATTCATACTTCTTTAATATACAATCTTCCATGTTGTGAATACAGTTCTTCAATATTTTTCTACAGCAACATCCCTACAGACAAGAGAAGAGATGTCTTCCCATCTGAGGTCTAGGATTATAACCAAAATATTACAAAGTAAAGCAAGTTTCACTGAAGCCTGCCATTAAAGTTTTAAATCTGCACAAATCAGCTTTCTGCTCTTTATAAAAGTGCTATTTTAAAAAGAAAACTTATTTCACAAATTTTAAAAATCAACGATCTAGAAGTAATATCATGTTTACCTCATGTACTGAATACTTCCTAGCACAGTATTACCATATCCCAACTTGAGAATCATACGACACTTTGTCTCCAATTAGAATGTTAGAAAGTTCATCATTTTGATATCCCAAGGGCCTACCACTGTGCCTAAAACAGAGTCACTCAACCAAAGATGGTACTCTGCAGTTCATATATTGCTTTCCAGGAATCAGAAAGAAACAGACATACACTATGTAAATACAGCTTAACCGGTTAACTTACATCTTTTTCTGACCGATGTGGAAACATAGAAGACTGGCTGTAGTACATGTTTTCGTCATGGTAGTCACTGTCGACCCCCTCTACAAACTTCTTTCTTGAAGCACCAAACATGCTGTTTGTCACCTAAACAAAAATATTACTTTCATCAAGAATAATATTTTGGAAAATGTCAAGCTTTACCTTACTCCTATGTAAAAAACATAAAATGAAGTATTGCTAAGATAAAGAAACAGGTCAACTAAAGATTAACAGGACAGGTGAGAAACTCGCAACAGTGTAGTAGTAAATGTTTACTTGCAGGTCCTGAAAGTAAGAGGAGAAACTTAAGGCTCTGTTGTATGCAAAGATTCCAGTTCCTTTAAAAGAAAAAAGGATCACTACTCTTGAAAAATGGCAACCAAAAATATTTTCCCATACAAAGATTTTTTAAAACATGTTTGGGTTTAACTATTCAAAATCTTCACATGTATCTTCAATATTATTCAGTATGAATAATCCTCAAGTATCTGAGGATTCTTATTCATATCCAGGAGTGTCTCTGACATCACTATATCTACTTTCTAAACTAGCTGTTTTGCAGAGTATATCATCTTCACTGATAAGCTAAGTTTATTGAGATAAAGCACTTTTTGAGCCCGTGAATAGCATACTGGAAATTTTATCTCAAGTCACAAGCTCTCACTCATGTTAACAGTAGGATAAATTTTTCATTCATCATCCTGGTGTATATTTATGATCTTCACTAAATAACCTGCTTACTCTTGTGTTTTAAGTCTTTATCACATCCAACACTAGCAATTCTGAGCATTCATCAAGTAACTGCTAAATCTGTGTTTTCCCCCGACATGACTTCTATAAAACTTCCAAAACTGACAGGTTATTTACTTAAGGTCAATGTGTCTATCCCTAGTAATACACTTTGTAATTCAAAGTCAACTGAAATGTCATGACAGGAAAGATTTGTAAAGACTTGAACACACAGCTTTCACAAAAAAATTGGGGGAAAATTAATCAAATTTGACATCCATCTGGTACACTATGAATAAGTGTATTTTTTTTGCCACTGTAAGAATAAACAATTTCCTCTCATTTCAAAATAAAGACTGTAGTTACTACCATTTACCAGTAGATATGGTAAATTGATAGACTGCAGGCTTTAAAGCCCAAATGTGATGTGCAAGTCTGTTGAAATCACCCAACCTATTTAATAATCACTTAATAGCAGAAGTTCCTTGTTAAATTTGTAGGAAACTGAGATGCTACATATTTGTGTTTTCTCTCCCTCTGGCAAACACCCAGGGAGTCTGGGCAAATTTGGTATTGATGGAAGAGGAACATTTTTGTCTTCCTCTGTCTAGGCATTTTACATGTTTAGTTTTGCTTTCAAAAAAGTAAAACCTCTTTGCACAATATTGTTAGGTTCAGTTCAGTCGCTCAGTCGTGTCCGACTCTGCAACCCCATGGACTGCAGCATGCCATCACCAACTCCTGGATCTTGCTCAAACTCATGTCCATCGACTTGGTGATGCCATCCAACCCTCTCATCCTCTGTCATCCCCTTCTCCTCCTGCCTTCAATCTTTCTCAGCATCAGGGTCTTTTCCAATGAGTCAGTTCTTTGCATCAGGTGGCCAAAGTACTGGAGCTTCAGCTTCAGCTTCAGTCCTTCCAACGAATATTCAGAATTGATTTCCTTTAGGATTAACTGGTTTGATCTCCTTGCAGCCCAAGGGACTCTCAAATGTCTTATCCAACACCACAGTTCAAAAGCATCAATTCTTCAGCACTCAGACATGTTTATGGTCCAACTCTCACATCCATACATGACTACTGGAAAGACCATAGCTTTGACTAGACGGATCTTTGTTGGCAAAGTAATGTCTCTGCTTTTTAATATGCTGTCTAGGTTGGTCAGAGCTTTTCTTCCAAGAAGCAAGTGTCTTTTCATTTCTTGGCTGCAGACACCGTCTGCAGCGATTTTAGAGCCCCAAGAAAATAAAGTCTGTCACTAAATTTCCATTGTTTCCCCATCTAGTTGCCATGAAGTGGTGGGACTTGATGCCATAATCTTTGTTTTTTGAATGCTGAGTTTTAAGCCAGCTTTTTCACTCTCTTCTTTCACTTTCATCAAGAGGCTCTTTAGTTCCTCTTCACTTTCTGCCATAAAGGTGGTGTCATCTGCATATCTGAGGTTACTGGTATTTCTCCCAGCAATCTTGATTCCAGCTTCTGCTTCATCTAGCCTGGCATTTCACATGATTACTCTACATATAAGTTAAATAAGCAGGGTGACAATATACAGCCTTGATGTACTCCGTTTACAATTTGGAATCAGTCTATTGTAGAATGAAATTTTTTATTCTGTACAATTAATTCAGAATTCTAAGAGTCTATTAGTTAGCTTTTATGATAAATGTTATATCAGAACTGTCAAAAGAAGAGTTCACTTTGCTCCATTTGAGTTAACTTATATATGTAAAATTGATGAGAGATATCCTGGTACTCTCCTGAAATGTTTCTGAATTCTCTAAGTTTCATGCCATTTTCCTGTGTTTCTCCTTTTTTATGAGAACTCAGCAGTAACTGTGAATTAAATGTAGTAGTAAAGGGAATTAAATGTATCCTTAAGTTTTTCAAACCAAACCTTTTAAATCTCATGTGTAAAGAGTCTTAATTTGCAGATTATAGAGTGTTTTTTTCCACTGTCACTTTGCTGAAACAAAACTCATTTTAAAAAAAAAAAAGTTCTTTTTCCTGTTAGGGACTACTTAGGCAGTTGGTGGACAGGTGCATGGGATTCTAGCCCCTAAATTACATTCACAGTTACAGAATAGCTTCATCAGGGAGCCTGCTGCCCAAAGAAGATTAAGTATGTTCTAACAAATTAATAGTTCCTTTAAAAATATCTCTCTATATTTCACACCTAAAGAGATTTATAGCCTAAAAACATACAACAAAGCAGAAGTTGTCTTCAGACTACAGTTCATATCCAGCTGAGTAGATGTTGCTCAGACTTTAACAGGAAGTAGGTAAGGTCAGCTAATTAAGCTATTAGGCCTGTACCCCGAAAATGCTGGTTCATGTCCTTCCCCAGCTAATAAACCCAATCATCTTTATCATTATTTTATCAACTATAATACTAGGAACTATCATTGTTATAATTAGCTCCCATTACCTACTCATCTGAATTGGATTTGAAACCCAGATTCAGTCCCTGGTCGGGGAACTAAAATCCTGCAAGCCGCACAGTATGGCTTTTAAAAAAAAGAGGATTTGGGGGGCAATTTAAGAGTGACATAATTTGGCATATTTTCTGTAAGTATACATTTAATATGACTGCAGCTAAGCTGTAAGGAATGGACAAGAGGGGACAAGAGTGGAAGCAGGGAAACAGGTTGGTGAGAGATGATGGTGGCTCAGAATACAGTGATATGGTAGAAGTGATGGAGAAGTAGTTAAAGGGTATATTTTGAGAGAGTGCTCACACTAATGAATATAAGAATAGATGGATATAAAAGGGTAAGATATTCACATTACCCCCTGGAAGAGAATAAGTAAGACTCAAAGGAACCTAGAAATCTACTTTTATCAAAGGGGATATGTCAACACTTGGCCAAAATGTATTAAAATTACTGGTTATACCATATATATTGAAGTCAACTCAGTAAACAAAAATTTTAAAAACTAATTTAAAAACAAAATCATGCTTCACTCTACATTACATATAAAATTTGTTCAAAGATTTGGTACATATAATTTTCAGCTTTTTTCAAGCAAACATACAAAGGGTCTACATCCATTTTAACTGACCACCTTCCTCCTCAACTCTCACACCAGATGTTTTAACAAAGAAGAAGCAAAAGTCGAGATTTCACCAAGAAAAATACATGAAATATGTATCTACCAAAAGCAATGTTTCTTAAGCCTTTTTGAACACAGATCTAAAACAGGTAACTAAGACACTTTTTATTTGCTTTGACTCCATAAGCACAAATCAGAATATATATAAATATACACACACATACATACATATATATATTACATAGGTTAGCATACATCAGCCTGACACTCCCCCCACTGCAAAAGAAAAAGAGAGAGTTGGCCTCAGAATGTAGTAGAGAGGAATTAAACTCTCTAGCAGAATAGAAGCACAAAGTTGGCTGGATCTTCCCAGTAAACATTGTCATTACTTAATTAGGACCAGCCAAGAATTCCTAAGGTCTAACATTCCTAACATTTAAATATAATATTTCAAAGCCAAACACAGTAAGTCAAAATAATCACAGAAGAATTCACAAAATCTCAAACTCGAGATAATCTTAACCAACAAACAACTTCAAAGACTGGTAAAGTGGCCCCTGATCCAGGTGGGATGAATGGTAATTACAAAAGGGAAGGAATAAGAGAAAAGGCCTGGAGCTTTTTAAACGGTCACAGAAACAACACTAGGACAATCTACAAGTGAAACTTTAAAAATAAAATCATAGATAAGAAGCAGTAAAAAACAGACCATATCCAAGGCAGGACAGATGATATTTAATCTTGCAGTTTTCTTTCACCAAGACCTCTGGAAGGAACTTACTCTAAAATCATTTCCTGTCTGTAACACTGGAAATGTTGGCTCAGGCATGGAATCCTATTCCCAGGGAACAGAAACACAATCCATGGCAGAGTGGTCCTTTTCCTGATAGCAAACAAATGTAGTTTGATTTTGAAATCTATCTCCCAAGGCTCCAGCAGCATATTTTAAAGTGCAACTAGGACATTTCTATCTGAGCAGAAGCACGTTTTAATCAACTTAATCAGTAATATTTAAAACTGACTTTCCAAGTTGTTCTCTCCTTTGTTCTGCATATCATCACTTTCTATACATTCTTCACATGGTTTTCATGATTTTTGCTGTTCTTCCTATCATCTTCTTAGTTTAAGCTCTGGACTAGTTTTTTTTAGGCCTCTGACTGATCTCTTTACATTTCAATGAACATGCTAAGGGTTTACTATATGAATTATGTCAAAAATTGTGATAATGAACACAAAAACTGAGTAACAGCTCCAAGTCTTGAACAAGCTTACAGTCTAGCTAGGAAAAATACCTGTAAACAAAAATTCTTCTATGAAAACCTA